CCATTAAGAAAAACGAAACATGAAACAACAAAAAATTGCAAAAGGTGTACGGTGAAACACAAAAAAATTCTGTTATCTTGTATTTTCCATGTTTAACTGTCTCACCCACTTTTCACCATGTTCTGTATCCTAATCCACCTATCCCCTTCACTGTCATTGTTGTTGCATTGGCACCATGCTTGTTTTCAAGCCGGTGGTAAATATATAAATATACAGTCCTGCGTACGCTGTTCAAATCATGAGTAGATGCGGTTATCTTTGTTGCGCTACCGTCATTGGTCACGCAAATACCCAATTAAGCGAAGTAATCAACTTCAACTAATTTCTGACCGTCTAGTTTCAAAATAAAGCTAGTTGACACCAAATATTACAGCATTACTTGGCAGCGATCAGTGAAGCTCGCTTCACTGTATCTCGCTGTACGATGATGATGATGATGACTTTGAGAAGCGCCCGCCGAATGGATCAGCAGAACTTGCTAGTTTGCAAGGTACAGTTTTTACATCCGCCATGCATTCGAATAGACAAACGATGTTATTAGCGTACTCTAAATCAAACAGCTTTTTTCCAGCTACCCAATCAATACCTACATTTTATAGACCATTCAGCGCGTTCTCCAGTATTTTGCCTATGATGAAGCTTCACAGGAATGGTGAAACTGAAAAATGTCCTCTTATAATATTTTAATAATAATATAATCTTAATCTTTTCAAATGCGGAATCAACACAATTGCTTGTAGATCGGTATGCACTGTACCTTACAATGCTCTGTGCTTGAAGTTTTCCCTCCTTTTACTGTACAACGTATCTGTGCAATACAAAAGAGTCAATCAGTACAATTGTTCAGATCCCATTAGAAGTTATTTATTTTCTCCGTTCGACGAAGTTAACCGCGGTCATTTTTTGTTACACACTTTCGTGTGATGAACAGCAGATTGGGTAGACCCCGTAGTCACGAGGATCCGTTGTTCAGTGATGGAAACCGGTAACCGAAGCCCCGGGACTTTGAGTGGTGAACCACATAAAGCCCCGAAAGGTTAGGCGTGGTATTGAGCCGGACGACAACAAAGCTGCCTATCACCAAAGCTGGGTGGCGGTAGCGGGGCCTGAACCTCGGACCATCGAGTCCAAAGCGCGCCTGTGACAGCGACCAAAACACCGCGCCACCGCGTCATAGGGCTCCACGCCGTCAGTTCGGAACATTTCGATCCAACTAACTCCACTTATACTTACTTAATTCTACTAATCGATACATGAGCGGAACCAATCAGATTTGTTATGCGGTTCTGTCCAATGTATGTTCTGTAGTTATACAATTCACTTGTTTATTCGTTCTTTCGAGTTCACGTGATGCTCACAAAAATGAAGGCTGTCTGGCATGCCAGCAGAAGTTCGTCACGGAATAATCAAGTATTTGGTCTCTGAGGTTGACTTTTGAGTAGACGTACCGTTGGGTTCAAAATCAAAGGTTTATCAGCGACACAACTAAGAACCAAGGAAGGTTTATCCTAAGGTACAGCTCTCAAATCCAGTCAGTCCTGTTTAGCACGTGTGACCTGTCATACTATCCAGCCTAAATCCGCACCGTTTCCACCGGCAATAACTCTGACAAGTGCACACAAATCATTAAAGAGATAAGAAAAACATAAGTGAAAATATGTGAAAATATGACATCTTGGTGAAGCAAAACAAAATATTTTGTCCAGAAAACATCATTTCTCCTCTTTGGTCTCAAAATACGTGATCTATTGAATTTTGTTTCTGCCGCATTGCCTGCCACAAGACTGCAGAATAGCTCTACGTAGTCCCTGATTAAATATGGTATAAACAACTGGGTTAACGGCTGAATTCACATAACCAATCCACATGAGGATTTGTTTCAAATGAAAAACTCTCCATTCGGGACTGAAAGCAGCAACCAAATAGGCGATCATAAACGGAATCCAGGCCAGT